ATGTAGAGGAGGGGTTTAAATAATAAAAAAAAGATACAATGTATTCTTACTTTGATTAAATGAAGACTCGTGTGGTTTTCAAAACTATAGCCTAATAAAAAGTGAGGTCACGGAGATATTTATCAAGCTGCAGGTTTTGCAATTTTTTTTTTAAATAATCGGAAAAATACAATAAAACAAATAACTACAATTATCTTCAGTTAGATGAAGTCTTATAAATGAATTGCATTCCTCATTTAAAATACATATTATTTCATTAAAGATCTAGACCGATTGTTTTCTAGTATTTTACAATTTGAGATGGCGGAAGATACCAGATATCTACTTTTAAATTTTATATCTTCAAATTTAACAACCTCCAAACACATTGATACACGTATTTTTCAATCAAAGAATTTTCAAAATGGGTCTCTAAATATTTGGCGAGTTATTTATTGACAGGATGAGAGAAATCCTGAAAGTCAGCAATCGCAGTCCATCAAACTGTTTTATCATGGTGATTCATGTTAACTGTATGATATATGTTCAATAGAATTATTTTACTACGGTTTAAACTAAATGTTGTACATGTCGTGTATTCGAAATAATTTACTTCAATTTCTGCCGGGTCAATCTTACTTTCAAAATGTTCATACTGTGAATCCGATGACCAACTGTTGAAACTCTAACGAACTTTTAAGAGATCACAGATTTGCATAAAATAATCGTTCTTTCTGAATGTACACAAGAGATAAACATTAGAAGATGTGGTATGACTATAATTACCCATAAATGCAACAACTCCCCACAAGAAACCAAATGCCGTAGAAGTAAGCAACTAAAGGTCACCGTTTGGCCTTCAATAATGAGCATAACCCATACCGTGAAATGACAAATGCAAACAATTCAAACGAGAAATCTAACGGCCGGATTTATGCACAAAACAATAGACGACAAAAAAATATAATAAACAGCAACAAACGCCAACCACTCAATTGCATGTAGGCTCCTGGATTAGGACAGGCAAATATAGAATGAAAAGGGGTTAAACATGTTTGTGGGTACCAACCCTCCTCTAACCTGTGACAGTGGTGTATTAACATCACACCATAAGAACAAATTATAAAAATCACTTGGTTTAAACCGTAGTTATTATTGGAAAATTGTAACCCTGCAGTTACTGTAGTACAATTTTACATAAAATTCAAATATGGGATTCGGTAAAGTTGAAAAAACTTTTATAATATAAAAAAGAAGATGTGGTATGATTGCCAATGAGACAACTCTTCACAAGAGACCAAATGACACAGAAATTAACAACTATAGGTCACCATACGGCCTTCAACAATGAGCAAAGCCCGTACCGCATATATTAGTCAGCTATAAAAGGCCCCGAAATGACAAATGTAAAACAATTCAAACGAGAAAACTAACGGTCTAATTTATGTACAAAAAAATTAACGAAAAACAAATATGTTAAACAGCAACAAACGACAACCACTGAATTACAGGCTCCTGACTAGGGACAGGCACATACATACAGAATGTGGCGGGGTTAAACATGTTAGCGGGATTTTATAAATCTGTCTCCCGTGTCACTTGAAAAGAGATCGATACCAAGCACAAAAACGACTATCAAAAACACAAAAGGTATAGACATGAGAGTACTCGCACGCCGGTACAGAAAGCTAATTCATTAATAGGTTGAATTGACATACTCAATAAATGTTCGATTTTCAATATTTAAGTTTAAATGATATACTTTTACTAGGTTAAATTTGAAAACATTTCAAATCATAAATATCATAAATGTATCGCTTAAAATTACTACGGAACCCCTCAAATACGTAGGACTCGCATTTCATCTGCTGCGCTTCGGATCAAAATCTTAAAAACCCCAAAATACTTGATGTTCTGTGCACACCTCCATCTGTGCCCCTCTCCGTGACGTTCCTTCATTGTGGACGTCATAGGCGGTACAATTGTTTTTTGTGTACCCAAAATATGCCGTGGCAAAGTATTGAATCAGTGTGGCAGTGAAAGGGTTAAGTACCTCACATCAACTAAAGTACTGTGAAGTTTAGCAAAGATTGAAGGACTTTTAGAAAAAAGGGCACTGCTATGAAATTTATTCCTAGGATATTGTTCCGACCTGTTTTATTTTTATTCAGATAAGTCTGATTATATTAGTTTATTTCATAAAAATTTCATTTGGGATGTAACGCGTCTTCTGATTGGCTGACAGTGTTTTGTTTATCAGCTCATAGACATAATTTTGTCATGTGACCGTGACGTCATCAACGTTTTTTCATGATTTACTCCGGCTTAAAATGGAATTTAGAATTAAATTATAAGGAATGGCTGTAATATTTTTTCTGTCTGTTCGAAATAACATAAAAAATGTGGTGCACACTTTAAAATAACACGCTACGCGGGTTATTCAGTGTGCGCCACATTTTTGATGTTATTTCTTCATAGACAGAAAAAATATTAAAGTCATTCCATAATTGTACTGGATTATTATTAGTATAAACCAGGGGTGGTGTTCTCAAAGCTATCATAGGATTAGGACGTGTCCTAAGACCAATTTATGGCTGATGACCACCTCCGGGTACTGGATTTTCTCGTTGCGTTGAAGACTTATTGGTGGCCTTCGGCTGTTATCTGCTCTTTGGCCGGGTTGTTGTCTCTTTGACATATTCCCCATTTCCATTCTCAATTTTATTATGACACGTCTTTGTCTTAAGTCGTGTTCTCGAAGCTCTCGTAACTTATGCTATACCGCATTTTTCGTCCTAACTTTAGGACACCTAATTAGGTGTCTTAAGATCATCCTATCTTCATCCTAACTTTAGGACACGTCTCAGACAATAATTTGTAAACAAATATGGATGCGGATTTTGTGAACATGAGAAGAAGCCGAAGGCTTCAGAATATTCGCAGTAATAGACTGCTTAGAGACTACGACAACCTTTTGGACTTTTATGTGTCGAGTTGCAAGCATTCACCTTACTGCAAATGGCCACCCATGCTCTTTTTTTAGCGGCGTTTGTGGCTACATGGCTGTGCTTACAGAATAAAATACCCCTCTGACTCTCCACTTGATCTAAAAGAATGTTTAACTCCGCCTCCTTAAAGTTTAAATTTCGCTTTTTGCTCATTATTTTACGTGAAGATGAACATGAAATGAAACGCACCATCGGTTATTAACTCGTATATAAAGAAATTGTGCATGATTTTAAACTTTGAACTTCGTGTTTCACGATACGATGACACTACAAATTCCAGATTTTGTAAAGATTATACAAGGAAAAAATCTTTTTTTTTATAATAGAAAGAAAACTAAACGATCAAATATGCAAAAATAGTTTTTGAACTGTGCTTTCAGAGAATTAAAAGAAAAACTGGGGTCACTGTGCTCTTTTTCTTGTTACAAAAAAAGGTAAACTTACTCTGCAATCCTAAATACATTAACTATATGAGTTGTTTTCCCTTATATGGATTAGTTAATTAAAAAAAATAACATAAAACATATTCTGTATTAGTAAGAACAATAGTAATAAGATATCACTTAATGTTCTTTATCTAAATGAATATATAGTGTTGCAAATGAAGTACATACCTGTCTCAATATTTGCTTAGTTCTTTAAAGATCTATACCGATTGATGCTATTTTACCATGCATGTGCACGATGGCGTAAGACACCCGATCAACTTTAACATATCCCATGCACTTCTTTACAAAATGTAATTTAACACGTGATCATAAATGTAAACATTCTTGTAAGAAGTTTTCCATTATGGTGAGGGAAGTTTTCATGTCAATAAACACAAGGTTCACTTTTCCTGTATAATATATAAATGTGTAATCCAGTAACAGATAATTAATGTGATTATCTGACTTAAATGTTAAATCATGAATTAAACATAATATTAACATAAATGTTCGCCTTAATTTCGGTTAAATTACTCAGCAGCTTATACAAAATTGTCCATGCAAAGCCTACATTTTGGACATTCTGTCATATCTAAGACAAATAGCATATATGACTAATTTTATTGCAAGCGGTTTTATTATAATATAACATTTACGAACTACGATACTACTTTACTTGTGTATATATTGATATTTTAGATTTATACTATTTTATGAATTTGATATATATGATTCAATAATGCACATTGCTTTCTTTACTTTATAATTTTGATATATTCTTTAATCTTACATTTTACACCAGCATCCGTATCAACTTCATTGAAAATTTAATAAAATTGAATTTAATGGAACTGTAATTTTTAAGACAATAGAAGCAGGGAAAATATTAGAAGCGACAAACATCCAGGAATGTTACTTGAAATATATGTTTTGGAGATATAAATATATATGACGAACACCCTATTTATCCACTGTACTTTTCCAAATCATATTTTGTTGAATAATCGAAGTCCTGTTAACCAATGATAGAAAGGTTAACACCCTTAAAGAATGGTCTAACACTTGTATCAAAAGTATTTTTATGTTTAAAATGACAATATCTTACATTTTGACGATTGGTTTCAATAAAAAGAGGTTTACATAGTTATCAAAACAAGTTGTCTTGAAAGGGATGCTAAGATTAAAAATGATTTAGTTACTTTTAATACGGCAACACTTCATAACCTTGATAACTTATATACAAAAAGTAAATGAAGAATATATTTTTTTTTTATTTATTATTTCACATTTACAAAAGTTACTTACCTGTAACTTAAATGAAGCTATTTCTAGAGAAAAATAAATGGTAAAAAGTTACATTTAAAAGTTTTGTTGATCACTAAAGTTATCTGATTGTGATAAACAAAAATACTTTATTATCAAATTTGAGTAATTGCCATACAAACAGTTGATTTACTTTGGAATCGAACACATTTTGAAATTATCTTATTTAATGAAACCTTTTTGCACTGATACCATTTTACTTTGTCAACTTTTATAACAGTATTAGACTTGTATAACAGGAAGAAAATTTCAATATACATACCTTGTCCTTTTGCATATTGAGAAAATGAAACAGTAAATCCTGTTTGTTACAGAAAGTAGCAAACGCATGCGCAGTTGGAAATAACGATATTAATTTAAATACAGCGTAAATTTCAATATCATTTTTTCTTAGTGGTTCAGCCGTTTTTTACATTTAAGATGTAATGGTTATGCACATGTTCATCTTCAGAATAAATATTCAACTATTTAAAAGTAATACACGTAACTGCAATCATGTTCGCTTTGTGACGATCAATATTCAATAATAATTAGATTTAAAAGTTTATCTCGCTATTCGATGCGAAGATATAACGTCTTTGAATGTTAAAATAAACCACAGAAGTGACAAAAGAAAAATCCCCAGGACATGAAAAATCAGGGATGCCGTAATATTCCGACATTGAATAAGTCTAACACCCTGATTTCTTACACAAATACCCCGGTGTAGTTCGACAGCTAAATAAATACTTTTATATCAGAAAACTGGGTGAATTTGTATTTGAAGCTTCTCCGTAAATCAGTCATTAATAGTGCGACGACAGAGTGGAGGAAAGTCGTCTAGAATTTTTTTAACTTTAAAGACTTACTTTTTGTAATATGATATTGATAAATTCACCGATTTTGGTTTTCCTCTTATTCTAAATTAAAAAAAAAATGAATATTAAATCCAGTGTAATCCACGATCATACTAAGTATTGTTTGCAGTAATGTCATGGGGCCGGTTTCACAAAGCTATCCTAAGACCTGTCAGAAGACATATCTTAGGACATGTCTAATGATCCTCTTATGACTATCTTAGGACATATCTCAGACCTCGCCTCGAAGCTGTCTTAGGATGATCTTAGCAAAGATATCATAAACCTGTCGCAAGTTCTTTGAATTTTTGATTATTAACATGGATTTATGGAAAAAATTCATGTAAATATATTATGTGTTTCCCATAAATTACTAAACGTATTTATTAATATTCCATAATTAGATAATTTGCAAAATTAATATAAAAAATAAGTGTAATTTATATAAATAATCTTTTAATAATACACCAATATACATATGAAAATTCAAATACACACAAAATGGAGAAAAAAAGAAATAAAATGATAACATTTTTGTTTGTACAAGTGAGTTGAATTCAATTTGTCACTGTATCGGTTATACTAAGGTTAAAGGATAAAATCGTGCATTATTTCTATAAATACATCGAATGTTCATTGTTGATAAATCATTTTGATAATCCGTCAACCTATAAAGATTTAGTTATGAGCAGGAAAAGGAGTCCCAATTTCACAGAATCAGAGCTTTAAACTCTTTTGGATCCTAATACCATCACAAGACACCTCTCGTGTAGTTCTAACTTTATGACCAACTCTAAGAGCTGTCATAAGTTAGGACCACTTTATGAAACCCACTTAGGACTACGATATGTCGTAAGATCATCATATGACAGCTGTGAAACTGGCCACGGTTTTTAAACTGTAAAGAGGAACCCAATGATAGCCAACAGTTAAGCAGAGACTACTTACTCTTCTTCACCTGCCCTTTATGTTGGGGTTTATTTTGGCCACTCTTTTGTTTTTCTTTGTATCGTTTTGAGGATTGTTAGTTGCCTGGTTTTTCATCCATTTTTCTGTTTTTCTTTGACTTAAAGTTTCTCGTTTGTACCCTTGATATTTTCTTTATTTCTATATAATGACAGGAATGATTTCAACGAAGAGCAACAAATAAAGAAATACTAAACCTTAAGTATGTAGAAATTGTACAATTTAGTTCACAAATGGGGATTGTGAACGTAGTTACACTTACCTGATATCCTAACATTATGGATTATCTTTCCGGTATTTGGTCACATCTCGATCAAACGCTTGATTGATTAAGAATTCAAACCTCTCGGTGAATAAATTCAAGCTTGAGAATGCCTTCAGTATTCTCCGGCGAAATCCAAACGGATTGCCAAAAGAACTACTTAGGGGAGGAGGTGGGTAGTATATCAGGTAAGTGTAACTACGTTCACAAAATTCATTCCAATTTGTGAACTAAATTGTACAATTTCAATATTACTTGTTACACTTACCTGATATCCTTACATTATGGATATCATAGATTCCAAAGCTGTACCAACTTTAGCGGTAGTCTGTAATTCTTTTGTTCAAATTATAAATGTACACTATTTACAAAGTCTAAAAAGTCTGACTGTAAGCACATTCATATATACATTGTCTGATGTTAACTCACACAACAATAATTTAAAACCAACAAAAACTTGCATCGCATCTCGTCGGATATGAATAGTTCCAACACTGTATAAAACATATATTACAAGTTAATACTGTACACACATTTTTTTTAAAAAAATTTTCTTCTTTTTTTAAATTTTTTTTCTTCGATAAAACATGAGGGTCTATGTGACGTAAGTAAAATTTGGCTTCCATGATGTTTTTCATTGATGCACCTTTATAAAGAGCCCATGAAGGGCCTATAGCTCGTGTTGAATAAGCTTTAACGGATTTCTTTTAGTCGTTATAAGCCATTTGAATCGTACTCACAATCCATGACGAAATTGCCTGACACGATACTGGATTATGTGGACTATTAATTCCCAAGAACAATTTAAAGTCTTGCCTGTTTTCACCACGAAAATTGTCACTGCTTTTTAAATAATAAGTTAATGCCCTTTAAGGGTCCAGAAGCTTTTCTGCATCAAAGGCAAGTACAAAAATCTTAGCACCAAAATGTCCTGGACGGTCTTGTTTTGACAATCCTTCCCTAATAAAATAAACGCCTCTGCTATGTACAGAAATATTTCCTTCTCCGAAACGTAACGCTTGTAAATCACTGCAACGCCTGAAAGTAGTGATAGCAATTAAAAATACAGTTTTTCATATGATAAACTTTCGTTCGGCCTTTTTCATTGGTTCAAAAGGCTTTTTCTGTAACATTTCAAGTATTTTATCTAAATTCCATTCAGGAAGTAATTTGACCTTTGGAGGCCTTGAATTAAATACAACCTTTAATAAGCGAATAATGTATGGGTGTTGAACTACTGATATTTTTTCAACGGGTGGTAAAACACTTAATAACATAGATCTGTAGCCCCCTATTGTACTGTACTGAAGACCGCTAGTATACAGACTTGCAACAAAATCTGCAGCTTCTGTTAAAGAGGCAGAATAGGGATCAATTTCCCTTTCACTGCACCAGCCACAGAATTTTTTAAATTTGCTAAAATAATCTTTTTGTTCTCCAAGAGGCTGACATGAGTTGTCTAGTTTCTTTAGAAAAGCCTCTCTTTTTGAAGATTCGGTTGATAGTGGCCAATGCAACCAGACTGAATATTTCTGGACATGGGTGGTATATTTTCGTCCTTGACTGATGTAGTAGATTTTTTTTAACAGGAATTTTTATGGGATAATTTGATATCGTTTTTATCAGTTCCGGATACCAAGCTCTCCTTGGCCAATGGGGGGCTATTAGAATTAGCTGACACATGTATCGGTTCATGTGTTGAATCACTTTTGGTACTAGACAGATCGGAGGAAATGCATACCCGATTACATTGTCCCAAGGTATCGACAGAGCATCTATTGCATATGCTTCCGGATGTGGAACCCATAAGCAAAAAATTAGGACTTTGCGATTTTCCGCTGACGCAAATAGATCTATCATTGGTCTGCCTAACCGGACAAATATTGTTGAGCTACAGTCTCCTGTAGAAACCACTCTGTGTGTCTTATTTTTGTCCGTGATAGAAGATCTACTAACACATTTGCGTTGCCTGCTATGTATGCTGCTTTTATTTGAATTTTGTGTTCTATTAGGAGTTTCAACAATTCAAAAATTGATTTGGTGCCCCCCTGTTTGTTTATGTATTGTACAACTGTCGAGTTGTCGCATCGTTGAAGAACATTTTCCCCCTTCAACTGAGACAGAAAATGTTGTATTGTTTTCAGGACAGCTTCTAACTCTAAGCAATTGATATCTTGAGTTTTCTGAATGTCTGACCATGCTCATTGGACTATCTGGGAATCCATGTGACCACCCTAACCGTTGAATCCGTTGTTATGGTCACATGAGTTTCCTAATGTCGTAAACATCTGCCCTTTGTAATGTTGGCTATATCTGACCACCAACTCAGATGAGATTTTAGATATTGTGTAATTGGAATTTTTAGTTCTAGATTTTGGGAAGTAGGGCGCCAATGAATCATCAAATAAATTTGAATTGGTCCCATATGAAGTCTTGCATAGGAAATCATCTCTATGCAAGACGCCATAATTAACAGTAGATGTAAAAAATCTCTGGCTGTTGCATGATTTTTCAATTTCATTTGTTTGACTGTTGATAGCAATTTCAACACTCTTTCTTGTGTTGGCATCACTATTCCTAAATCCAAATGGAATAATGCACCTATATTTGTAATTTTCTGTGTTGGAGTTAAAGAGGATTTTTTTAGATTTATTATAAGACCCAACTTCACAAGAAGATTCAACACTATCTCTCGATCCTGTACTAGCATGAGTGATACCTGATTTACTAGAATACAGTCGTCCAGGTATACTACTAGTATGATGCCCTGTGCTCGTAAATGTGCAGCTACTACAGATACTACCTTGGTAAAAACTCGAGGAGCCGAAGTTGGACTGAACGGTAGAGCTGAAAATTGTAAGCAAGGACTGTTTTTGACACAAAACCTCAGATATTGTGTTTTTGAAATACAGGGATGTGCATATATGCGTCCTTTAGGTCGAGAGATATTGCCCAATCCCCCTTTTTTATCACATTCAAAACTGTTGACAGCGAGTCTATTTTGAAGTGCTGTTTTCGGAGATACCTGTTGAGGGGCTTTAGATTTATTACGGGTCTCATGTCCCCTGTTTTTTTCGGGACAAGGTCAAATGTGCTGTAGAAACCGTTTTGAATGTCTGCTTGCACTACAGCACTTTTTTTCCATAAGTTCTTTTACTTCTAAATGTAAAATTTTCAATTCTTTGATAGGAGCAGAAGTTTGTTTTACTCCTGTTTTCGGAGGAAACTGTAGAAATTCCAGT